CACACACACACACACACACACACACACACACACACACATGCAGCAAGGCTGAATTCCCTCCTGAGCCCCCAAGAAACTCTATGATCGTTTTTACCAGTAATATTAAAACTATGCATATGTCCATTTCTCCCATTAGCTATAAATGACTCAGGAATAAAAGCTGTGGTTCATTGTTTTGTACCTAGCAAACTGCCTGCTAATAGTACATGCTCCAAAAATGTCTCCTGAACAATCAAATTAACTATATGCTTGTTAAGGCAGAAAGAAAAATTCATCTAACCATCAGTTATTGGAGATGCACTGGGTATTATAAATTCAACAATTTATTTCTAAGAATGGCTCATGATTCTTAAGAAAGGAAAATTACACCTTAATTTGATGAATTGGAAACATGTTTAATATAAAATGTTGATATTCTCAACACATTATTTCCACATGAATTTAGGAAAATGAATTTTAAACAATCTTCAAAACATGATAAAGGACAGTGGTACCTTTGAAAAACATACAAACACAAAAGTTAAGAAGTCATATGAAGATGTATTACATACTTGCTTTCCCAAAGTTAGATGTACAAAATAATTAATAGTCATTTTAAAAAAATCCCCTCCCATACACACACATACTGGGAATAAAATCATGTAATTATAATCATCTTTCTGAGAAATCCCCAAAAGACAAATATCTTTAACAATATAAAGATGGTGACAAGATTAACAAAAATTCAAAAATACTGAGGCTTAACTGACAACTTCAAATTCACATGATTTTGAAATAAAATGTTCCAATTTTTAGCTTCATCTTAAATTGCCTTTGCTTCACTGCCTTATATACAGTTAACAATATAAATCCAAGAGATACTTAAAACAGAAGATTAAAATAATATTCTTAAAAAACATGGTTTTTCAATCTGAGAAAATACAATATAATTGTCCTCTCAAAATTTTCCTGATAACATTAAAAGGTTGTAAAGTGTTTAATCACATATAATACCACCATCATCACATGAATTCAAAACTGTTCCCTAAACATTTAATAAAAACTTATGCTTCATAGGGATCATAGGTCTCTAAAAACTACAATTTAAAAATATAAAAGCAATTTGAGCAATCTGACTTTGCAGATAAATACTGGGTAAACAGAGCTATAAAATTATATATTTAGTTCTAACAATTAATAAATAAGATTTTGAGGGTATTCTTTAATTAAAGTTATGAGGACATCCATTTTATCTTTGATACTTACAGAAAGTGGGTACGTATATTCTAGGATATCAGAATAGGATAGAAGTCAATATTGATATAGCTATTACCTCAAAGAACTATGTTGAGCTACATATGTCATTGTAAAAACCTATTTTGGGTAGCTAAATTTTTTTTGTTCCAAATTTCATTCTGAATGAATGAACTAATTTCCCAGATCCCCATATATGACATCAAAAGAAAAAGAAAACATGTAACAATCACAGCAGAGTAACAATTCCATTTAGCAACTGAGAAAAATAAGCTGCGCTTTGAAAGAGTCAATTTCAATCATCTTCCTAACATCATGTCTTCTTTTAAACTATAAAGAAAGGATGCCGTAAATGGCATTTTCTGAAGCCTTAATACTAAATTCTTCTTTAAAAAAATACATAGTATTCATATTGCATGCTTGAGCCGCAAAGAATAGTATTACAATATAATGTGACTTGTCAACAAATGTGACAAGCACTGGGGCTGGCACCAGGGAGGACCTAACTCCCCTCAACTCCCAGTTATATGGAAGTACAGATCACTTGGTTTTATTATCTACAAAAACATTCCCACATTTACATATGCTATTGCATAATCAGAAGCAAATTTGATCAGAAAAATATCAAATATTTATGAAAGTTTAATTTCTAATAAGTTTCTCTATATCACCCCCATTTTCCACTACATCTACCAGATCCCAACAATCTAATAATATACCTTATTTATTTTAAATAATGTTCAATGACTTATAAAACTACCACAAGTTATTTTCTTCTCTGTGAGCTGACTAACACAAATGCTGGTAAGCAGCTTTCCAGTAATCTTATAGGACATCTGTGTCATGTTTGTACAGATTAACTAGCTACTGCTGCCCTTCTGTTGCTGTAAATGAAGTTTCAAAATGAGCTCTCGAATATCTTCCCGTTTGGTCTTTATTACATGACGAGGAAACCATTTCTCCAAATGAATTGGAAGTTCAAAATTAACAATAGGATCCTAATGAGAGAAAAGAAAATGAAATCCCTTTAGCAGGACAATTCAAACTTGTTTTAGTTTCATTTTACAAGAAATGAAAAATTCCTAACTTTTTTTAGCTTTTTATTTTTAAGTTAAGTCCTCTCTACACCCCACATGGGGCTCAAAGTCATGACTTTGAGATCAAGCGTCACATGCTCTTCTGGCTAAGCCAGCCAGGCACCCTGAAAAATTGCTAACTTTTTAAAATAGCAACTTTACTGAGATAGAATTCACATACTATACAATTCACCTAAAACTATATATTATCATTCCTCCCCAATTATATCAAAAGTTCCAACTGTATACTATAACCCTCACATGCTGAAAGTACCTTTAAGAATTCTCCAAGCAAGGGGCACCTGGGTGGCTCAGTCAGTTAATTGTCCAAATCTTGATCTCGGCTCAGGTCATGATCTCATGGTTTGGGCAGGGGGTGGTAAGGAGCCCCGTGCTGGCTTCTGCACTAACAATGCAGAGCCTGCTTGGGATTGTCTCTCGTCTCTGCCTCTCACCCACTCATGCTCTCTCAGAATAAAGAAAATAAATATGAAAAAAAAGAATTCTCCAAGGAAGCTTCTAGTCAAAAATACCCACCTTCGTAACACCACACCAAAAAAAATGGGGCTGGTTGCCAAGACAACCAACAATGTAATTAGAGAGTTGGAACTTTCAGTCTCGCCTCCCTGACCTCCAGAGAGAGGAGAGGGGCCTCACAAGTAACCCTGGTAATGACTGAAGTAATGAGCTGACGGTTTAAAAAGCAAAGAGTGGTCCCTTGCTTTTAAAATGTCTTCAATACTGTTACCTATAGCATGGCTGATGAGCTAGAAAAGAACACTCATGCTTGTCACTGTACTCATCTAGCTTATGGCTTTCTGAGCTTCTTGAATATATGGGTCTTTTAGTTTTGAAATTTTTCCTTCAAATTTTTGTCTGCCTTTCTCTTCCAACCTAATCTTTCTGGAACTCTAATTACATGTAAATTCAAATTTTTTACTCACATCACACTTGTCTATTCTGTTCTTTATGTTCTTTTTTCTCTCTCAAATACAGTTGAATACTTTCTATTGCCCTATTTATTTGTTTATTTACTCATTTATGGAAGTTTATTTATTTTGAGAGAGAGACAGTGAGCAGGGGAAGGGCAGAGAGAGAGAATCGCAAGCAGGCTGCACACTGTCAGTGCAGAGCCCAACGTGGAGCTTGAACCCACAAACTGTGAGATTGTGACCTGAGCCAAAATCAAGAGCCAGATGCTTAACCAACTGAGCCACCCAGGTGCCCCTATTGCTCTTTTTTTTTTTTTTAATTCTAATCCTGTCTTCTGCTACATCCAAGTCTGCTATTAAACTCAAGCAATAAGTTCCTATTTTTTCTTCCAAGTTTTTATTTAAATTCGTTAGTTAATACATGTATAATATTAATTTCAGGTGTAGGATTTAGTGATTCATCACTTGCATACAACGCTGAGTATTCATCACAAGTCCCAATAAATTCTTTTTTCTTATGTTCTATTTATTTTTGAGACAGAGAGAGAGAGAGAGACAGCCTGAGCAGGGGAGGGACAGAAAGAGAGGGAGACACAGAATCTTGAAGACAGGCTCCAGGCTCTGAGCTAGCTGTCAGCACAGAGCCCGACACGGGGCTTGAGATCATGACCTGAGTCGAAGAAGGATGCTTAACCAACTGAGCCATGCAGGCACCCCAGTGCCAATAAATTCTTAATTTCAGATATATTATTATGAAATTTTAGCTGTAGAATACCCACGTGATCTTTTTTAGCAGGTTCCATCTTTTCATCCATTTTGTTCACTCTATTCTCTCTAATGTATTATTCAAATCATTTTAAAGTTCTTATCCATTAAATAACTCTAATATCTGGATTATATGTGATTTACTTTTTCTTTCTTGATTACCTGTAATATTTTGCTTCTTTGTTTGCCCAGTAATTTGTAATTATATGCTGGTAACTGTGAATAAAGAATTTTTACATACCTTAAAGAAGCTCTCCACATACTGCAGTAAATATACTCCACAATCACTGCTATTATCTTGTTTAGGAACTTTAGGGCATAGGTCCACCATGTTTGTTTTGCTGAATTCACGATGAGTTTTTCGTTTAACTTCCCACTCTACTTCTAAATACCTTGAATCATCAAAAAAGTAGAGTGACTCTAGTAGAAATCTCTTTACTATTATTCAACACAAAGATGGAAAATAATTGCTACCAAATGTGTTGCCTCAAGTCAAATTTCCAAGTTTAACAGTACAAATTATAATATGTGAGGCTTCAAGGGTTGCTATTTAAAAGAAAATCATCTGAGTTTCTAACTAAAAGCTAGACTTTTTTCAACAATCCAACTTTCATAACTCACACACATAAGCTCATTTATATTACTAACAAATTACTAAATTTGTTAATTACTAAACTAATAAATTACTTTAAAACTTGAGTTCCCAGTTGTTTCCAGATCCTACAGTAATTACAAAATTACACACATACATATACACACACACACACTTATATACACACACAAATACCAACCCCCCTTTTTTTTTGAGTAAGCTCCACACTCAACATGGGGCTTAAACTCAAGACCCTGAGATCAAGAGTCACACGCTTGCTCTACAACTGAGACAGCCAGGCTCCCCAATATATACACACAGAAGTAATAAAAAGGTGAAAGAGTTCTTATTTTCCCTAAAATGATACTTTTGATAACCACTAATAGCTGCAATGCTCCTTTGTAAAATTATGCTTTTTGTTCAGTTATGAATACAAATTTTGATTTTACTTTCAATATATACAAGTTATTATCTGAGAAATATTAGTGCTTTAATATTAACATACTATAGGGGATGTTTATTATTGATTACATTGTAGACCTCATCTAAATACATAATAAAATATAATTCCTGGGGCGCCTGGGTGGCGCAGTCGGTTAAGCGTCCGACTTCAGCCAGGTCACAATCTCGCGGTCCGGGAGTTCGAGCCCCGCGTCAGGCTCTGGGCTGATGGCTCGGAGCCTGGAGCCTGTTTCCGATTCTGTGTCTCCCTCTCTCTCTGCCCCTCCCCCGTTCATGCTCTGTCTCTCTCTGTCCCAAAAATAAATAAACGTTAAAAAAAAAAAATTAAAAAAATAATAATAATAAAATATAATTCCTGATACAGTCTTTTCAGTAATTCTTAAATATCGTAGCTTCAAAATTATTGAGATTTTAGATAACAGACTGAGAGAAAAATTGTCATTACTTACTCTCGTAAATTCTGAACTGTGTTTTGTATAGAAGCAGCTTTCAAGGAATCTAGTATGAGAATGCATGGCCTATGAAAATCAAAAGAAGAAATCAAGATGTACATACTTGTACATGAATTAAACTTAAATATCTGAGAAAACTATTATTATAGCATGTACCTACCTTTTACACATTTTCTTTGGTACTGGTACTGATATATTTGTCTCGGTACTCTGAAATAAAACAGGAATTTTTATGGCTTTGCAATTAAAACCAGTTTGAATACATTAGTGTTCAGTTATTCTTTAAAATGTTTGAAATACTCTGAAATTAAAATTTCAAGTAAGAGTCCTTTTCATCATCTAAAGTGAGCCAATGTTGTTTTTTCAGAAATTCATTGATTTATTTTCTTATACTAGTGAAACAGTATCTTATACTTTTACATGTAGCTTCAAGAAGTTCTAGAACTTTGACATAGCCTAAAAAACAACCTAGAACTTTAATTACTTCTATTCAGAGTTACCATCTCAAGCAAAGATAAACAAGTTAATTTAACCTGACTTTACATACATTCTCTAACTCAATGTATGATGTCACTGGAGACAAATCTGGGAAACAACAGGCCAAACTTAAGCAGAATTCTTTAATGCATAACTTCTTAGTACCTTTATTATTCTAATGTAACAGTGAATCTTTAAGAGATGAATAGGACACAGAGTTTAACCAACTTAACTGACCTTACAATCCTTTTTATCATACTCTGCATCTTACAACAGTTGGTCTAAGGAACTTAATTTGGGAAGACTGTTGTACAAGCAAGAAGAAGGTCTCCTATTGTGCCACCGTTAGAACAGAAAAGGAAACTTCCTTTCTTCTGCCCACCCTATACCAGTAACAGTAAAGACATAAGCCTCTGCCAGGATAGCAAGGCTGCTACTGTCTATACATACAAAAAAAAAAATCGCTAGGTGGCTACCTTAATCAATTAAGACACCAAATCTAGACCATACATAACAGTTTGGAAGTCCATAAAAGAAAAGTTAGGGGTGCCTGGGTGGCTCAGTCGGTTGAGTGTCTGACTTCGGCTCAGGTCATGATCTCACGGCTGGTGAGTTCGAGCCCCGCCTCAGGCTCTGTGCTGACAGCTCAGAGCCTGGAACCTGCTTTGGATTCTGTGTCTCCCTCTCTCTCTCTGCCCCTCCCCCGCTCTTGCTCTGTCTCTCTCTCTCTCTCAAAAATAAACATTCAAAAAAAAAAAAAAAAGAAAAAGAAAAGTTAACAGAACCTAAAAAATGTGGACACTAAACCTATTAAACAACCAATGGGTCAACAAAGAACTCAAGGAGGAAATCACAAAACTACATGGCAACAAATGAAAATGAAAACACATTAGCCCAAAATCTTTGGGATGCTAGGAAAGCAGTTCTAAGAGGTTAGTTTATAGTGATATAGGCATACCTCAACAAATAAGAAAAATTTCAAATAAACAATCTAACCTTACACCTAAAGAAACTAGAAAAGTTAGATCCAACAAAGCCCAAAGGTAGTAGAAGGAAGGAAATAATAAAGACCAGGGTGGAAATAAATGAAATAAAAACTAAAAAATAACAATAGAAAAGATTCCTTCTTTCATATCTATAAAGAACACACTTACTTGGGAATCCTCTGTGCCCAAGGACAGTGTCGAAGTAGTATGTACATCATTATCTAGTTAGAAATAATAAAGCAATAATGAGTGCTTATTTTATATCTAATATCAAGTATTTAGATGTGGTTTGGACCAGTATTAATGGCAATGGCTATTAATATTCTGCCTACTGCTTAGACTACAGCTATAAAACATGTAATTTTCTTTTTTTCTCAAAATAAGTAGGCTTATTTGCTTACTGAATTAACATTTGGGTTGTAACATAAGAAAAATCATGGAAGAAGTTTAAGAGACCTGAAGTTTAAGTAAGAATTTTAAGAATTTCAAGTAAACCTAGTCAGTTTACTAGCATTAACAAGAAATGTGTTCATTTAAATTGAGAAAAAATGTGGGATTTCACCACCAAAAAACTCTTAAAATAAATTAATTCAGTAGGGTTGCAAGATACAAAATTAATGTACAGAAATTTGTTGCAGTTCTATATACTAATAACAAAGTAGCAGAATATAAATATATATATATGTGTGTGTATATATATATATATATATATATATATATATATATATAGTGACATTTTTACTTCATATAGTGACAATTTTACTTCTACCTTACCAATTTGGTTGCCTTTTCTTTATTTTCTTGTCTAATTGCTGGACTTCAGTACTATGTTGAATGAAAGTGGTGACAGTGGACATCTTTGTTCCTGATCGTAAAGGAGAAGCTTTTAGCGTTTCTCCATAAGTATGATGTTAGGTATGGGTTGTCATTCATGGGCTTTATGACGCTGTTGAACTATGTTCCCTCTAAACCCACTTTGTTGGGAGTTTTTACCATGAATGGATCCTTTTTCTGCATCTTTTAAGATGAGCAAATGGTTTTTATCCTTTAATTTGTTAATGTGATGTGTCACGTTGGTTGATTTGCAGATACTGAACCATCCTTTCATAGCTGGAATAAATCCCACTTAACTGTCTTTAAATGTAGTTTTGGATTCAGTTTGTTAATATTTTGCTGATGACTTTTCCTTTTGTGTTCATCAGGGATATTGGCTTGTAGTTTTCTTGTTTTTTAGTGTCTTTGTCTGGCTTCAGTATCAGAGTAATGCTGGCCTCATTGAATCAATTTGGAAGCCTCTCTTCTTTTTTTTGGCGGGGGGGAATAGTTTGAAGACAGTAGACACTAACTCTTCTTTACATGTTTGGTAGAATTCATCTGTGAATTTATCTGGTCATTGATTTTTTTCTTTGGTTTTTGATAATTGGTTTAGTTTCTTTACTAGTAAAAAAAAAAGAATACAATACCTAGGAATAAACTTAACAAAGGAGGCCAAAGACCTGAACTGGTCTATGCCTGAAGATCCAT